AGAGAGCACAAAAGGGAATAATCCATCCACTTTATCTCGCTCCACCCATGGCTGGGCATTAGAACTTCTCTCTCTCTCTATGTGGAAGGGGCAGCAGTAACTCAGTATTTCATATATTGTGTCCACTTTGCCCTTCAGTCCTCTCAGAAGGGTCAATTCAGTAATATAATCTGTTCCCCACATATACTTTCTCTCTGTCACGTATAAACTTTCTCCCTCTGTCTCATATGGGTAGGTGTGTCAAAAGGCCAGGCCCAGCTGAACTTGGTCAAGTTCAAGCTTGGCTTGCATGACTGGAGGATGGGCTTGCTCGTGGCTTGAGCTTTGCTAGAGCTTGTACCACCCAGTTGAGTTTGGTTTGATTTAGGGGAGGGAAGCGTGAGCTTGGCTTGGTTTGGTTTGTTTACTTAAGCAAGCCCATGGAGAAGCCAAATCATGCCATAAGCAAGCTGGTAATTGAGCCAAAACAAGCGTCTATAATCATGCCCAACATAAGCATGCATCTACACTACCTGTGCTTTTCCAAATGTCATGCATAAATGTTATATTGCTATATATACTAATTCCATATAATATACCATATATACTAATTCTAATATATTCAACGAAGTTGCCTCAGCTCGACCTTGGCTTGATTAATAAATGAGTTCTGCAGCTTTGCTTGGCTAAGCTTGTCAAGCTGCAAAAATATTCTTCAAGCTTGGCTCATTATAAGCCAGGCTGAATCGGCTTGTGACCTGGCTTGTGTTATTGACAGTTGACACCCCTACTTATTGGAGCAGTTAGACAAAATATGATCTCTGTCAATCATCAAAAAAAGAAAAAGAAAAAGGCATTTCTTCTGTCAATATCTCTATCTACCGTACAACTGTTATCCAGCTTATGGAGTTTGATGTTTATTTCTGTTCTGTTTGCTTTTTGGCATGAATAGTAGGGGCAGGGCAGCACCTCCACGACGTGGAAGGTCCACCTCATCTTCATCTGGATCGCCAAGCCCCCGCAGGGTTTGTTTAACTCCATGTGTTACATGTTTTTTGTTTTTCTTGGCATAATATATTGCATAATGTTATAAATTTGCTAAATATTAGGTGCAAGCTTTGTTTTCATATGTTTATGATGATGCCACAGGGAAACAGGAGGTTGTCTAAAAGCCGCAGTCCTAGAAGGTGACTGTTTTGCAGTGGGGCAATCTCATTTTCTCTTCTCCAGTCCTGATTTCCTGATTTTCTTTGTTATTGATGCCATAATCTCTCTCTCTAGGCCTGGTAGAGGACGAAGCAGTAGCAAGAGTAGTAGCGGTAGCTCTCCCTCACCAAAACCCAATTAAATGTTAGCTGGAGGTTTTAACAGGTAAGGTAAGTATTCTCTCTCTCTCTCTCTATCTTTCTCTAGATTTTGCTGCCCTTGGGTTATAATTTAGCAGCATTTTGAGTAATTGGGTGGTGCAACATGTGAGTACATGGTATTGGAGAAGTTTTGGCTCAAGGAATGTATTACGAATCTGCTGTTTCCTATATTAAGTTTGGAGATTAGAAATGCTATTTGAGTGATTAAAAAAAATGGTTATGTTTGCCTTATTTTTGCTTCAGCTTTTGTAGCAATCTGGATTTTGAAGCATTTTTTTTTTCGGTACCTTTGATTGGTTTGCTGCTTAATCATATGGACCAATGAAATACTTATGTTTTGATACATAAGAAAGTTTCCATTCTATTTTCTAGATGGATGAAACGGTTTGATAATCAATACTCCCTTTTTTTTGTCAATTCTGTAAGAGGTAGATCTTTCTGGATAATATCCAACTACATTTCTCCTCTTTGAAGAGAGGAGACAAGTCTGATAGCCTTGAGAAGTGCTTGTATTTGTTGACTCATTTGATGGTTTTTCATAATATTCCCCTGCCAAAAAGGAGGAAAAAAAAAACAGCGGGAATTGCGGGTATTGGTCTCAAATATTCTGGTGTTGGAGAAGTTTGTCTATTTTTTTTGGTTTGTTTTGCCCATTTGAAAACCTTGTGATTCGGATTTGAATCACCGTTCTAGACCGGGGATTGGTTGGGATTGAATTGAACCAATGCTTCCCTACCTCCCCCAAACACCCACTCGAAACACACAATATTCACTTCAAACCTCAAATTTTAATTTTAATTTTTCATTTTAGTCCTAAATATTTATTGGATTGTCAATTTAGACCAATCTGCATCTTTCCGATCTAACGATCTGGCACGAATAATTTGGATGATCCACTCCACCAATTCGAGTTTTAGAACATTGGTTTGGCCTTTGAACAAATAATGGCTCTTAGTTTCTTTGCTCAAGGTTCTTTTGCATAGTGGTTAAAATGAAAAAGATTGATTGTTTTTGGCATACAGTAGATGTACAACTATGCCAATATATGAACATGTGTCGGTTTCGTTATACAGGTGGAAATGTATTAACTTCATATGCCAATGTATGAACATGCACGTGTCCGTTCCGTTTCGTTATACAGGTGGAAATGTATGGAAATGTATTAACTTCATAGTACGATCACGCCAAGATCCCTAGATACCCTTCTTAATAGGCTACAAGAAGTAAAATGGGCCAAGATCCCTAGATGACTAGATGCCCTTCTTAATAGGCTACAAGAAGTAAAATGGGTTCGGACTGGGCCAAAAAAGAGCTGGGCAAGGCTAAGGGCAGTGGAATAAAAAGCCATAGAAAGTTACCGTGGAGAAGGGGTTGGGCTGGGCCAGGTCTTGCCCCACCCCGCGGGCTGTAATGGCCTCGCCCTCAGGCCCGCCCAAGTGTTTTTGGGCCGGCTTAGGCCACATGGTACATTGCCACCGTTAATCGTGACCTCGCCGAAGGCAAATTGTATCATGCTCCATCCTTATATTGTGGAATGTGAATTAGTGCATGTCGGTTATATCACAATATAACAACTTGATGCATGGTAATAGTGCATATTCTAGGGTTGCAAATGACATACTTGTAACCGAATAATGCATAGAAAAAAGTGCCTACTACTTGACAATTTGCAACGATATGTCTTAGGCTCAATACCACCTACAAAGAGTAACGGCTCTCCCCACTAACTCATCAAGTAAAAAAAAAGGCAAGTTACGCTTCCCATACAATATAAAACCTTTCCCCTTTTTCCAATCCTCCTTTTTGAATGGAGTGTTAAGATTGCTCCAATCACAATGTTCTGCCTTTACATTATTTTATTTTTAATTTTTTATGTAAAATATTTTGACATCAAATTTTGAGCTACCAATCTTCCATTAAACCTGTGCTTTTAAAAAATATAAAACAAATATTCTCAATAAAATAAATGACCAAAATACTCTTCAAAGCTTCAAGAGGTCTTTTGATCATTATATTTTATCGAAAAATTATTTTTAATATATTTTTTTTATAGGTGTGTTCCAATGAGATGATGAAACACACCAAATTTCATACCCAAATAATTTGTATTAAAAAATTAAAAATAAATACTGGATCTGTGATCAAACGGTGAGTGACTCATTTGATCAAAATTGGATTGTGGAATGGTAGAGGAAGCATAGGTCTTCTATGCTGTAGGGGCAGAATAGAAACCTTTCCCAAAAAAATATTAATAGAGCTTTTTTTTTAGGAAAAGAGCTGGGGTTTAATTAGTTAGCTCTTGACGATTTGCAATGTTAGGTCCTAGGTTCAATTCTTATGAATGGTAGGGGCCTTCTCCTCATTGATTCACCAAAACAAAAAAAGATGTTTAGTAATGATACATATTCAAATTTTAGGCATATTTGGATAAATTTTCCATTAATTTTTTTGCAACATCCGGGCAAGTTTATAATCAAATTAGAGAACCCGATGTGGGGAGCGACCCCTTCATACAGCTCCACTTCTGCTTGACTATGAACAATGGGAAAGAAGTATATTCTGTGGGTGACCCCTGAATATAAATTAGTTCAATAAAAAAATGCATTCTATAAAAAGAAGCACTAAATTTCATCTTAGGAGCAAGAATGCATGTCACCAATGTCTTTTTAATGCTTATAGCGTGTTCATGGGAGAATGGTGGACACTTGCTTCCTCTGGCAAAAGAGTTGTTTGAAAGAGAGTTTTGGTGTGTAATTTTAAGCTTCACCTAAGAATCACCATATTATTTTAAGGGAGTGATTTATATAAGGTTAAGGCCCTAACAATCAAAGTAAGGAGTACCTCCAAATAGTGTCGAAAGATGAACTTTCAGTAGCGAATATCTTACAATTGTCTAGAAATTTATTTTCATTTCTGATTATAAAATTTAAAGCTTCAAAGATAGGTAGATTGAGCAGATCAATAAACATCGAAAATATTGGGAAGTGACAGTCTTGATAATGCATTACAAGATGCACTATTTCTTGGACTTAAAATCTATTTTTTCTTTCACGTCTATACATATTGAGGAGGTTTTTCAACATTGAAATGACCTCTTGTAATGAAAATTTGAGATGCAACTTAATTTGATTGTTCAGGGCCTTAATCCTATATAAAGTTTTTCATTATTTAAAGGTGAGATTTGCATGGAGCCGAGGATCTAAAAATCAAAGTAGAGCCCACCTTTAAATAGTGTCGATAATGTCGTTTCAATATTAAAAATCTTTGTGATAGCATTAAAATTTATTTTTATCTCTAATTATAAGATTTAAAGCTTAAAAAATAGTGTAGATCAAGCAGATCTATGAAAACTTGAAAATTGACAGTAAAAAAGTACGCTACAAGATGCACTATTTTCAAAACTTCAAATCTAATTTTTTCTATCCATGCATCTTGATGTCGAGATGATCGATTTGAAGAACAAAAAAAGCTCTTCTAGTAAAATTTTGAAGTAGGCTCTAATTTGATTGTTTAGAGCCTCGGCTCTATATAAACTTTTCCCTTATTTAAAAGAACTTTGCATGTGAAGTTCTTCAACTCTTCAAAATTCGATGATCCTTGTTCAATCTTCGGGTGTTATTTTCCTGGTTTTCCTGGTTCGAAGTGTGTGAGTTGATTGTATTTTTTTTTTGTCTCTTTTTGGGAGGTCACTAGGTTCATTAGGTAGCTTAAGTTTTTCCCCAGGGAGCACATGGACCATATACTCCCCTAGGAGTTGAATATCAATCAACGTAAACTTCTTGAATAAAATGTCATTGATAATGGGGAAATTGCAAAGTTTCTTACAGGAACAATTTAACACTTTACTCATATTTTTTATTTAATTTTAAAATACCCCTAGAAAAATCACATGGTCTAAAATTTTGGAATAATTGAAAATGGGCAAAATATTAAAAATAGTGCATTTCTTGATGGTATTTTGAAAAATTTTCCTTCGTAATATCATCCAAACAGGTTTAGGTTAAACTTGGACTCTGACCCTGGTTGGGACAGGTTTAAACCTGGATCCAACTTGGACCCTATCAAGATATAACCATCCACTTCGGGGCCAACCCTAAACCCGACTTGACTTGGCCTTGTATTTACATTTGTATAAAGTAACATGTGTTGTAAAATTTATAACATTATTTTTATTTTTTTATTTCTATACATGGAATCCACCCAACCAGACTTAGTCGGGTCTGGCTCCATGGACCTGCACCTGACTCGGGTAGAGTCCAAGTTTAACCTAAACCTGGTTGACCCAGATCCGACTCGACCCATTCCTAACCCTACTCTTAGAGTATCATAAACCAAACTCCGTTAAATTACTTTCAATAAAAACCAACAAGCATCAAGTGTGAATACCATAAATCATCATCATCCATGCCTTGTCCCAAGATCACTTTTTTACTGCCCTGACTATCGGATCATAATAATAGAAATAACACGTGAATACTTGTTTTCAATTTTCATTTTTTTTAACAATCAATCTCCAACTACCTGTTGTTAGAGACCAAAAGATTTTATGCTCTAAAGGAGCATACTTACTTTTGATTACTCGGTTAAAACCCAACTTATGAGTGTTTTTAGGACTACACAATAATTTGGAGATCTAACATCTTCAACCCCATAGACTAAAACTTCATGAAAAAAAATTCCAATTCGCACTTTCTACATGCTTGAACAAGATAATGTCTCAAAATTGAATATAAACTTGTGGTAAAAAAAAAAAACAAAAAGATTGAATATAGACTGTACAATTTTTGGAGGATGACATCTAACTGCTAGATGCATCAAAGTCCAAATTTTTTTTGTCGAAAACAATCATCTAGTGGTTTTTAGGTGGTTCCCAAAATTACAGATAAGAAAAATCCTCTTAAGCAAGCCTTTTGCTCGAGGGAGCAAATGTATGGCACATTCCTACAGGGGCTTCTTCTCCCTCTACCATTTACTTGTTTCTCTGTCCAAACAGGATAATAAATTGCTCTCTAAAATTGAACCAAAGGGGTTTGGGTGGGAAATTTGTTTCATTAATGAGTGCATAAACTATGCTCCCATGGGAGCACACTGTGCATCTCCCCCCTTGCTCAAACACCTATTTAGGAGAATTTTCTTAGTATTTAATTTTGGGAAACATATAATAATTACTAGATGATTATTTTTTTAAAAAGTGAATTTTAAGTTCTATGACACTTAGATCTAGCCATTTAAAATTGGACGGTATCTATTGAATCTTGAGACATAATTTTTTTTTTAAATACCCGAGA